AACCCGTCTTTTATAAAGCTATGAGGTGATCTTACATACCATAGTCATATGCAAAAATGTTTTAAGGTGTGGAAGTTCATTCCCATTATAGGCTCTCCTTTAACAGTGACATCAATAATCCTAATGCTTAAAAAGCCCTTTCTGGCCGCTGCCCATCAGTTTCCCATTCCAATGATATGAGGGAAGAAATGGCATTATCTTTTCGGGATACAATTAGGAAAAAAGATAAAAAATTATATTCCCCATTTTGACTTATCACTCGGGGAAAACAAACAAAAGTGGTTGGATGGTCTTACAAGGGCGTATTCGTGTCCAAAAGTAAAGATTGTCATTGCATCTTCCACCTTCCACAATGTTTTCATTTGTTATTGCAACAAAGTAGCAGAAGATCTCCTTTCATTTTCACGAGTGTATATAAAAGGTTATTTCCATTTTCCTTTCATAAGTAAAGACAGATAATTCCAAGAAAAAAATCAAAATGGTCTCTGGACTATCTTTATGGGGGCACTATAAATGTGTTCGATTTAGTCATTTGTCTCCTTAAATATGAACAAAAATAGTTGCTCTCTTCAATCATTTTGGATCAAATTTTAAAAATTAGGGTACAACTATTATGACTTGATATCAATGATCTCTTTACAGATTAACATTCAAATCCATATGACACCATCGGCCTAATTGTGAGTTTATAAAATTATTCTTTAGGCCTTCGTGATATCAACTTATCACACAAAATTCTCAAGAAAATATCATACCCCCAGTCTTTATTTAACTAATTCATAGCCATATACCTTTTTTAGAAATCTCATCAATATGAACTACATCATTTTCAAAATGCATTCACCAAAGCACATTGATTTGAATATCCTTTGTAGGCATATCCACAAACATTACAAAAATAGGAATTCCATGTTAATTATTGAATCTAAACATGCAATAATTGAAAACATTTTGGCCAATGCTCATATATCTATATATATCTATGTAAATATGTCTATATATAATCATGTAAATATACATTGGCCACAAATTTTTGCCTTAAAGCATACCAGATTAATCCACATCCTACTTGATTGTATACCTTCTCATGATCAATAAAGAACATATGAAGATCATTTCTTCATTTTCTATACTTCTCCAATATCTATCTTCACAAAAATATCATTTTCATAGTGGGTCTTCACAATATTAAATCAAAAAGGTTCTATGAAATCAAATTGGTTCTACAAAATTGATGCGACACTTCCAAGCCTACATTTTATCACTCGCTCCAATAATTTTATTATATAACTCATAAGTTTAATTCCAATATAGTTGGTATGATCATGAACATTGTCATTGTTCTTAAAAATTAATATCGAATCTCTGCTGCTCCGATCATTTTACATCCTCTTGGTCTTCAAAATCATATTAAAAAGAAATATTAACATAATTACAATAGTATCTTTCATAACTCTCCAAGTCTCAATATGCATCTTATCAGAATATATCACCTAACATATTTCATCATCTCTTTCAGAGTCCCAACTTCTTTTTTTTTTAAATTATTTTTGTCAATATTACTAAATTATCCATTATTCTCCTCCAAAATAATTTCTTCCTTAATTACTTGAAGTAGCATTTTCATAGTTTCTTCGTGTGTTCATCTTATTTTATTTTATATTTGTCTCTATCTTTAATCAAGGAGTCATTACCTTTACTCTAGATCAAAATCTTGAGATTTTTTATTCGTTAAATTAGCTATTCTATATTGCTTAATTTTCCATTACCCCATACCAAGCTTATTATATAAATCATTAAAAGATAAATTTTTTTATTTAGAAGAAGTAATTTTATACTTGCTCAATACCCTATTTGTAAATTTTTTTAGTTCATGTAATCATTATAAGCCTCGATGATATCTAATTTAAACAACTTTTTTAAATCACATTTTTCCTTAAATAACCATTTTACCTTCTCATTCCACCATCGAGTCTCCTTATCAGGAAATTATACATGCCTATGAGGAAAACAAAACCAAGTTCCAGATGAATTTTTCATGCAATTTGCCACCAAGATACTCGATCATGTCTCCTCTAATTATGATCCTCTAGCCCTAAACTATAATATAGGAGAGAGAATATTAGGATTTTTTAATATTATCAAGAATAATTTGACTTTTAAGTAAAAGAAAGCAAGTCCAAGTTTAGTTGTTGATGCAATAAGAAGCACTTAGGTGAAAGATAGCTATTCTTTTTTATCTTCAATCACTCATATTTGGCTCTTTTTTTTTTATTAAAAAAAATCTTCATCATTCAATCATATTAATTATAGTCTTTGTTGTCTTTCTTTTATTAGCTAACATGCCACAACAAATCAATATTTCAACAAATTATATTTTATTTTACATACGTTTCTTAGAGATTAACAGACTAAAAAATCGTACAAGAATCTTGCTTAACCACGATCATACTGTCAAATGAGACAAGTCTTGCACCTAGGACGATCGATCAATTATGTTGTTGACTTGAATTCTTCGGGAACGAAAGATATTAATAGCAGACTAATAGAATGGAATCATTCAGTGCTATAATCTGATGGACAAACCTAGTGATAGGAAGAGAGTAGCTCGCAACTCGCAACTCGCAAGTGATCGATTGGGAATTAATTAAGTGCCCTATCAAAAAAACTTGTTTACAAAAATAATAGATGCAAATTAATTTAGGGCTTGTTTGGGGCAGCTTAAAACTGCGGCGGCATTTTTGAAAACGCCGCCTTTGTGTTCGATTCGCACGTTTTGCTTGTGTTGGCCAAGAGGGGCAGAGGGTTCTATTATTCCTATTAGACGCGGATCGCGGGTACAACCCCGCGATCCAGCATTTAACTGAAGCATTTACGCCCCTGCCCTCAAACCCAATCCCCCTAGGGCTCTGCCAAAGGAAGCCGTTGCTCTCTACCGAAGGAAGTCGATGCTAATCCCTGCCGAAGGAATCCGAAAGAAGCCACTCCAACCTCTCTGCTGCTCATCCCTGCCGAAAGAAGCTGCTGCTCATCCCTGCCGAAAGAAGCTGCTGCTCTCTGCCGAAGGAAGCCGATGCTAATCCCTGTCGAAGGAATCCAAAGGAAGCCACCGCTGAAGGAAGACGCTCCTACCTCTCCGCTGCTCATCTCTGTCGAAGGAAGCCACTGCTCTCTGCCGAAGGAAGCTGATGCTAATCCCTGCCGAAGGAATCCAAAGGAAGCCGCTCCTACTTCTCCGCTGCTCATCCCTGCCGAAAGAATCTGAAGGAAGCCGTGCAGTAAAAACAAATAACAATGTAATGATATCTATTGACATAAAAGACGATTAATTTTTCTTTTCCATTTATTTTTAACGTTTAGATAGTAGGTAGATTTGTGTGAGACTGCTGGAAGTAAAATTTAAGTGTTAGAGATGTAAATACATAGGAATTTGGTGCTATGAGTGTAAAAATGAAAGTTTTGATGTGAGATATGTAAATCCATAAGAATTGAGTTCTATATATATGTAAATGCTCCTTTTTTTATGCGTTGGTTTAATAAATATATTTTCCCTGATATAAATCTGAAATCCTCAAATATCCTCTTACATGATGGGCAGTCTGTAGATGGCATGAAAAATTCAGCGAGGATTGGTGCATATTTGTTTGAAGAATTGTAGATGTTTAGCTTTAATGTTAATAGGTTTGTAGATATACTCCCTTGAGCGCGGAGGATATCTTTTTTTTTTTTGAACTGTTATGTAGTATTTTTTGGATTTTAATATATTGAATGTGTTCCATTATATTACTGTTGCGAACAACTCCACTGTACGTGACCAAAATGGTCTTTTTTTCATAAAAAACTGCAAAACAGCTGTTCTCAAACCGCAAAAACCAAACAACGTAACAGTTTATTCAGTTCAGGGGCAAAATGGTCATTTATCCAGAAACAGCTGCAAATCAGCTGTTTTCCAAACGCACAAACCAAACAGCCAGCGAGTTTATTCGGATCAGCTGCTCATCAGCAAAGCTGCTAATCAGCAAATTATCAGAATAAGTTAAGAAGTTGGATAAGCTGTAGCTGCCCCAAACAGACTCTCAGTGACCAATTACACAACCGTCGCATATATGATGGAGTAACATAGAGATAGACATGATACTCTAATTATATGGCTTTTACAAATTTGTTGAATCCTGTTGTTACTTAGTATGAACTTCTATTTGCCTTGATTTTAAGGTCTATTGTTTACTTATCACCCGTTTGTAGGATGAAAAATGACACATTTCAAGATCAATTCCTGCCTTGAGTACACTCTCATACAATGAGAAAGTGGGTGAGATATCTAATTAATGTATTTCCATTCAAGCTAAGCAGAAAACCAAATACATAAAATATTCAATGTTCTATTTTATTGTTCACAATAAAGAAAGTGAGCAAATCTAGAATTCTATTTTTGCTTCTTTATAATACATGTTTCACCGAACATCACTTTCTTTTATATGATTTGAAGTAAAATCAATTCACTGTAAAATCAATTCAATGTAACGCTCAGCTGCCGAGTAGACATGGATTGGCAGTGGCGGACAGTATAGCAGTTTAGTGGCAATGGCAGTAACAAAAGCTGTGGACAGTGGTTGGCGACTGACGACGACAGCGAGCAGTGACTAGCGGGCAGGTTGGGGGCGGTAGGCGGCCGATGGCAGGTAGTGGTGGTGACTTGTTTTGAATTCACCCAATTTGAACTAAAAAATGGTTTTCATATATCAAATTTTACGATGCATTTCTTTTTCATCTGACCAAATGCTGATTTTTTTTCAATCCCTGCATTCCTTCTGCATTACCAATCAAAATAAATAGCCCCTGAATAAGAAATCCAGCTTCCCACCATCAAATCTGAACTTTTTTAGGGTCCAAACAAAGGAGTTGCTAGCCTAGCAAGCCAGATTTTCCCATCATGAAGGTATTAAAAAGCATCACTGTATAATAGAGGAGTGAACAATATCCTACAAAAAAACCAAGCATAAAACACTCACTAAAATTAAAAATATTTCTCAATTGACAATTCCTAAGTTAACACACACCATCAGATTAGAGCATATATATCAATTATTTCTAAGTTATTACATAAATATGGAAACTGAGGAGCTCTAAGAATCTTAGTAAATATATAAGTTATTTATTCCTCACAAGCAATATAAGGAGTCATGGTCTTCTTTGATAAAGCAATATCCCTGATAAAATAACAGTCAACTTCAATGTACTTAATTCTTCCATATAAGATTGGATCGCTAGCAATATAAACTGCTGCTTCATCATGAAAAATTAAAAACATGTCGGCTAACAGAAAAATCAAAGAAGAGGGACTTTTACCCTCATCATTTCACAAGCAAGGTGAGTAATGGTCGTAACCCTATATTCTGCTTTAGCGCAAGATTTGGCCACAGCTACTTGCTCCTCACTCCTTCAGGCGATAAGATTGTTACAAATAAATATATAATATATTGCCTTTTTATCTTCAAAATATTCAATATAATTAGCATCTAAATAAGCTATGACTCTCAGCTCATCATTTCCTTAAAAAACTAGTCCTTCACTAAAGAATTTTTTTGACATATTTTAGAATTATCAAGATAACTTCCCAAAGCTTTTTCTTTAGATTTTGCATGCGTTCACCAACCACACCAACAAGAAGTACCATATAAGAATCATTTGATAGTTAGATATATAAAGTCTCCTGACAAATTAAGATTTTGAAAAGCTAGCTCATATAATATTATGATAGCCTAAGGCCTGGTGAAAATACCATTAGCAAGAAAAAAAAAATTGTAAGAATTAAAGAAAGTTATATTACTACCTAACAACAATTTCAAACTGAACTTCAACAAGAAATTCTCTCCATGCAAGTTAAGCGTAATAAATAAATCAACCACAATGTTAAATGCTTGATAAGCAATGGAAAAGGTATGGAAAAACAGCTGCACAGGATACTCATCAATGATAAGAATAGAATGCAAGGACTGTCATGGGAATTCACATACATCATTCATTCCACCGCCGGAAAAGAAGTCATCAAATGGGCTCCCAAATCCAGCACCTCCAAACGGCCCACCAGGACCTCCTCCAGAGGCAGCTTGCTCAAATGCATCAGGACCAACCTGGTCAAGTTTCCCTTAAATACTTCAGCAACCAAAAAAATAAACAATATTGAATAGTCAAGTTAATCAAAGAATGATGAAAGAATAGTGACAATAAGATCTTATCATAAAGTGACTATCATAAGGAGGTGAATGAGCACGAGGGATGAAACAGAGATGAATAAAACTTTGTGGAACACAAAAAAAGATAGGAGAAAAGCAGCAGAAAGGAAAAAAAAGTGCAGTAAATTCAATGAGAAATAAAGCAATTTCATGGTGGATTCAAGAGTGATGAATTACATAAAGTCATTTGTAACAATGAAATAGTTTTAGAATATGATTGAACCATACAATTATAATTCAAATCCTTGATGTCCATATATTAAAAATAATTTAATCATCTCAAGTGATGGATCTATAAATCTCTCAGCATAACAGGTTTTCGCTAAAATTAACATCAATAACCATGACTAGAATGCATGATGACAATTTCCACAACTAAAATGCATATCTCAAAATAAATCAATCAGAAAAATTCTCAATGCTACGCCAAGCAAATGACCGTATATTTTAGAAGGCAAGTAGCATTATACAGAGGCAGTCCAGAAATAATAAGACAATTAAGTGTTTCAACATGATCTATTGCTTTCACATGGATCATTACTAACTCATTTTTATGATAGGTAAAAAAAAATTCTCAGAAATCAAATTCCTTAAATTAAAAAAACCTATTTTCAGCAAATATTATGAAGACGGTATCATCATGGTTAAATAATAAGAAGTAAATGAAATAACAAAGACCAATACCTGATCATAAAGTGATCGCTTTTCATCATCTTTTAGGACCTGCAAAGCAAAAAAGAATGCATTTTCAACTTAATTAATCAAATATTGAGGTAATTAAATTCGATATGAAAATATCTCTACTTCACAATCTAAAAAAAACTGTTACATTACCTCATAAGCTCGTTGAACCTCTTGAAATTTCTTCTCAGCGTCAGGATCCTCTTTATTTGTATCGGGATGAAGCTTCTTTGCAAGCTGGATTAAGAGTAAGTTTATCAGCTAAAAAGGAAGTATACCAGAATATAAACTCATTTATTAGGTGTTGAAAACATTACTATGTAAAACAATTGGAAAGGTGGGTGGATTACTAGCAAGAAAAGGCATATCTCCATATTCAGGAGCTAAAATTCAATATCTCAACAAAAATTTTTCCCTATGTACATACAGTTTCAACATAACAGCTATCCACAAGGACAATCTATAATTAGAATTGTACTTGTAACTAAAAAATAGTCAAATGAACTGCATAAGTTGTATTATTATATTACAGGCTATAGCATACGAACCAAGATAATATAAGAAGAAATATGTGTCTCAATGAAAGTAGTCACGATTCAAACATTACTCCAAACATCAGGACTCAGGTTGAACTCATTGTTATTAAAATTAAAAGGAGAATAAAAAAGGCATTTGATCAGAGTGGACCATTAATCTGATTGTGTGGTGAGTAGATCAACACATATCATATTAAATTGGATTAACAAGGAACTCCAAGGGAACCACCCCTTAATTACCCTGGTTTTCAAGAGTTACGAGAACTAGCTGGATAAAATTAATCCAGAATTAAATTGGCATTAGGTTTAACCGATTAGAACCCAAAGCACAGACAAAATCACAGATCTTTGATAACAACAAGGCCTACATAAGTAGCTCTATAAGAAGCTTTTAATATTTAGCTTCTTTCAAAACTTAAAATAGTTGCAAGATGGTTTAATGCATGAGGGGCTGAGTAAGAATTAAATGATTGAAGTTCTTGGCCTTCTAAATCTATGAAATCCTAACATTAAAAACACCTCGGATGGGCTCATGATTTGAAAGCGAAGAGTTCATTTCACAAGAAAAGGGGAAGTTTTTCATCTTCCAGACTGGGAGATTAATGAAAGGGAATCAAAGTAAGTAACAAAAAAAGAATGAAACAACTATATAATTTTGAAGAATGCCTGCAGCTATAAAATGGAATTTCTTTTATGAAATTGCGCACTGAGAATTTCCACTCTCCAAAACAGTTGAACATTAACTAACTAAAGAAAAATGTATCTATGACCAACTAAAAAACTTAATTGATTAGTAAAATATTAATGGGAATGTATGAATCCCATAAAAATAAAGAAAAGGCTCTGATCCCATAAGCCCCTCACATTCAAAATGTAGCCCTTAAGAGTAACAACATTTTTAATCAAATGGATTATGAAAATGTGGCTTATATATGATGTTGATGATCATCCTACCTCATAATACATTATTATACACTTATAATCAACCAATTGGCATTGCTTGCATTTGCAAACCAAGCTTCCATGATTTGTTCTTTACTTAGGGAAATTTACACACAAAGCATGTGATTCTTAGGTATTTACATATCTCACATCTAGAATATCATATTCACATACATAGCAATTTGGTGCTTTAATTTCTACATGAGGCAGATTGAGGTTTCATGTTTAGGTTCAGTCTTAAGCAACGAAAATACATTTCATTTGTTTCAATTTTATTGAGAGAGGGAGAGGGAGAGGGAGAGGGAGAGAGAGAGAGAGGTTACTAGTACTAGAAAATCTCAAACAAAGCGCAATCACATTATTGTTGAGGTCATTGAAGATTGATAGATTAATGAAAAATTCTAATTCATTAAACACTTCAAACTCACCCCATAGTACGCCTTCTTAATATCTGAAGAACTTGCACCCTTACTCACTCCAAGAACGTCATAATAATCTCTAGCGGACATTGATTTAGTCCCTACACATCATTAGAATCAACATAAGCATTAATTTATTCATCATATCAAAGCAAGTAGGCCGCTAAGAACAAAGGAAATTTGACAAAACTGAAGGAATAAAATTAAAATAAAAGTAAATATTCAAACAGGACATACCATGAAAATGCCTCATTTGGGAGCAATTATTAAAAAGACTAGCTCCCCAATTGCCAATGGCCGACTTACCTGAATCAAAACACAAATTCCAAGATTAACTGCAGCACTTTAGCAGGATAAAAAACAATGTGTAGTAGTAATAAACAAACAATTGCTTTTAGTATTATTATAGTGGTTCAAAACGAATCCAATTAAGTGGAATTGAGCTCGTAAAATTCCATGAGAGGGTTTTACATTCACAGACTAGATGATACAATCTGTCCACATTCTCAGAAAATTAACTTGCAGATACCCCAAAAACCCCAAAAATAAACAATCATAAAAAAGGGAAAGGAATTAAGAGACAAACCAGTTTTCTGATTCATATCAGCGAGAATCCTTGACGTGGTACATATCCCCGCAACTTGCCACCGTGCTGAGGCCCATATCTGCATCGACCGTGAAGAGCATATAATGGATCCAAACAACAACAAAATAAACCAACAAAAACAAACAGAGAATACGAAAAGCTCACGGAAGCGGCGGCGTCGAAAGACTCGCCGGAGAGGATCGAACGAAGTGACCGGCGGGCCAAACAAACGGCCCGTTGAGCTCCGTGGAACCGCATGGTCAGAGAATTCGCTGGCGATCAGATATAAAGTCTACTGGTTTCCCATTATTATTCGCGGGGAGGAGCTTTCTGGTTCTCAGAAACAGGGCAGCAGAGGAAGCTGAGATCGAGGTACGTGTTGGGGGTTTAGGGCAGGAAGAGTTCGTCAGGTCGCTTTGTGGTCTGGAAATTTCTAAATGGGCCTTTTCCTCGTTTAATGGGCCTCGAGGTACGAAGAAACATACTTATTCACCGAATGAAGCCCACTTAAATATACTTATGGATCACATAAAATTTGTATTTAAATTTTCATTTATGATATGCTAAATATTTTATTTAATGATCAATAAA